TTTTTTTTATATGTATTTTACTATATATATTTTTTTGTTTATTGGCAATTACTTTCTATTTGGTACATTTTTGTCATACATGTAAATTCGTAATATTTGTAAAAGTTTATATTTTATAACAAGTTAGTTCACAGGCTATCTTAGAAATCTAATATTTCCCGAAAAAACATCCACCTTTCCTTTAAAGCACTAAAATTTTTTTTCAAATAAAACACATTTCACACAAAATGAGAAGCAGAAATATTTATTATACGTATAATACTAACTTATTTAGATTGTTTACTAATGCGACTGTAGGCAACTTTAGTTGATTAACTTACTTTTCCGTACGTCTTTGTCTGACTTCTGGCATATCATCTGCAAATTATATGAACAAAATATTGTTTTTTTTTTAGACTTATAGGCTTGCCGCAACATCCACACAAACGCGCATACATATTTCAACAGTTAAATCACGCACACAAAATTAAAAACAAACACGCAAATTTTAAATTAAGTTGACGCTGAACCAAAAAAAGTTATCGCACATACAAACACATCAAGAAAATTACAAACTCTTTCTTTCCAGCCACGCGCTTGCCATCCGCCACTTTCCTTTCCGTTCCTTATGCAAGCCCTTTCTTTCATAAAAATGCAAATGTTTGCTAATAATTTACACCGTTATTTCCCTCCAACAAACAGCAAACGTAAATAAATACAAATATCGTACACGTTTTCCTTACTGCTAGTATGCACTGCCGTACTAACGAACACACTTCCATTGCCTTTCAGATTCGCACTCCAACTGCAACAACGATTGTAGCAGCCACAGCGCAGACGCGCCGACCCGTACTGAGCGTACGTCGGCGAAAAATCAATACACCGACGCTCGCTACATCAGGTATAGCCTACCAGACGGCTACGACGAAGATCCAATCGTCAGCAGCAGCTATAATAACAACAGCAAACACGTACCCCACGAAAAGTGATGAGCTGCTTGGGACAACAACGGAATTACCAACGACCTTTAATAAACAGCCACAACAATATCGCAATCGTATTAAACTGGTAACACCAGCTGCAACAACAACATCAACAACCTACCTATCAGCACCTACAACGACCACATCAGTAACAGTAGCTGTAGCAGCTCTTACTCTAAACAGTGATGCTGCCAATGGCACAGGCAATCAGAAAAATTACCTTAACACAAAGTACAGAGCAAAGCTGTCTGCAACCACTTTGTCAACGGGCGCATCACCAACGACGCTAGTGACAGTGACACCAGCTGCCAAAGGAGCAGCAACCGCAACAGCAGCAACTACATTAGCTATCAATGACATCATACAACATAATAACGCCAACACTAACACCAAACAAGCGTCGACAGTTTTGCGACGAAAATTCCAAGCACGCCGTCTTATAACAACAACAACTGCTAGTCCCACAGACGACAGTGGTAAGTGGTTAACAGAAGTTAACAATATCCAACGACACTGCAGTGCAACTTGTACATTTTTTGTGAGAGGTGTACGTAGATATTGGCATATCTAATTTTTTTCACAACAGAATGTTGCTCAGCAACATGTTTCGGCAACATATTTTAAGAATATGCCCTCCAGTACTGCTGGAGTCAATCGCTACTTTTGAACCGCTACTGCACCGACTCCTAGGTAAGTAGCTGCTTTATTAACCCGTGGGAGTGCACATGGTAGTGCAGTCGGAAGCAGAATCGCGAAGCAGCCCTGCAGTANGTAAGTAGCTGCTTTATTAACCCGTGGGAGTGCACATGGTAGTGCAGTCGGAAGCAGAATCGCGAAGCAGCCCTGCAGTACAGGGGAGCGACTACAGGACTGATGAATCGGTAGCTACCTGATAAACTCCGTCAATTACCGACCGACTACTTGCAGTGTATTTCATCCATTACTTTTACAAGGCAATGTCCTAGGCGGTAGTCACCATCGGCTCTCTCTGCACTACCGGGAGTTACTAAAGTAGTCACTTGCGTGATTTAGGGGCGCCCTCTGTCATAATTTTTCGCTATTCTGCTTCCGACTGGTTCGACTCTGCACTACCATGTGCACTACCATGGGTTAATAGAGTAGCTACTTACCTAGGAGTCGGTGTAGTAGCGGTTCAAAAGTAGCGATTGACTCCAGTTGTACTGTATGATGGAGATAACTGTAAATATAATAACAACGATCGTAATACGGTGAAAATGCACCATGGATGACCAGCCCGCTATGAAGTGAAACCATCGATCTTCTAATAGAGAACCACACCGCTGCAGAGCAGCCGTCTTTATTTATATAAGATTCTAAACCTAACTGCCTACATAACTAATATACTGTACATAACACTTCCATTGTGCTATGCACATATAACTTCTTCTTCTTTATTGGCGCTGTAACCGCCTAAGCGATTTTGGCCGAGTCCAAAACAGCACAACTGTCATTTCTCTTCTGTGCTACCTGAAGCCAATTGGAAATGCCAAGTGAAGCCAACCTTCTCCACCTGGTCTTTCCAACGCAAGGAGGCCTTCCTCTTCCTCTGTTACCAGCATCGCGGCCCGCGAAAAATTTCAGAGCAGGAGCGTTTCTGTCCATTCGAACGACATGCCAAGCCAGCGGAGCCGCTGAATTTTAATTCGCTGCACTATGTCTATATCGTTGTAAAGCTCATACAGCTCATCGTTAACGTTAACGTTATTGTGAATACATGATCTATGGTGAATTTTCCAGGCCTAAAGCCACACTGATAAGG